GCCAAACCGACCGAAATGAATGTTACTAATTTTACAAAAGTACCAATCGGTAACCATTACAAGTATGGGTTGTCTACACTGCATGCTTGGATTAGATGTTTTGAGTGTTTACTCCACATCGCATACCGTTTAACATTTAAATGCTGGCAAGTTCGCAAAGAAAACAAAGACGCCTTTTCTGCGAATAAAGTTAGGATTCAAAATGAGTTTAGGACAAGATTAGGCTTAATAGTGGACCAAGTAAAGACTGGATTTGGAACAACTAATGATGATATAATCAATTTAAAAAAACATTTTGTAGTCAAAAAGGACCAAAATGAAAGTAGCTGCCATTCCTAGAGGGTTTGCGTAAGAGAGATATAGGGAATCTTATTTGNAGCTAATTCAAATTTTTTCAATAATACTGCGATTAATATCGTGTGGAATGCGTATTAATATCGACGCGTTTAGAGAGCTCCTTATAAGGACAAGAACAATGTATTTGACTGAATACGAATGGTACTACATGCCTAGCAGCGTGCATAAAATATTGATGCATGGGTGTGAGGTTATTGAGTATTTCGATCTACCAATTGGTAAGAAAATCGATTTGTTGCTATTCGGCATTTTTTACTACTACGAATTTATTCCCACAGGCAATTTTTCAGAGGAAGCTCTGGAAGCTTTACATAAACACATACGTATCGTACGATATGATCATACACGTAAAACTGCTCGGGAGCATACAAACAGAGACTTGATGTCATACTTAACAATATCATCAGATCCTGAAGTAGTTTTTAAAAGGAGTGCTATCCCAAACAAAAATGCAGTTTATACAATGGACGAGCTGGAAGAGTATTTAGTCGATGCTGAAGAAACTTAAAAGTAATAAGTACCCTTCAGTCAACTCAATTAGTTTTATACTAATCAAATACTAGTCAGCCACACGGCCTCAACTAGTTCGAGTTCTGTAATTTTTCCATATAAGCAACTGGCCGCGGCGATGTCCTACGAGATGGCAATTGTCCTCTTCTGCATCAGCACTATACCAGTTGGCATACTAGTCAGCCTCTGCATCAGCAATATATCAGTTGACATACTAGTCAATATATACATCAATATCATACCATTTAAGATACAAGTTCGTATATACGTCATGATCATGGGCGTAGCCAGAACGAAATTTAGGGGGGGGG